CAACTAGCTGACATGCTTACCAAAGCTTTATATCCAGCTCCTTTCCGGGAAAACTTGAGCAAGATGGGTGTGATAAACATTTATGCACCTCCATCTTGAGGGGGAATATTAATGTATATGTGAATTCCGGTTTAGTCTAAGTAGATTAGCTGGTTTACTTGATTTCGGTTTGGTTTACAAGTATTGTAATTGTATATAACCACCTTGTAACAAACTCTTCCATTTGTGGAAAATAAGAGATCAGTTAACCAAATCTCTCTTTGCTCTCGATCTCTATTAATTTCATCAAACTGTTGTATCACATTGTGTCATTAACATGTTAATGAAAATTCGCATACTTATCAAAAAAAAAAAAATGAAAGCTGACATCGCGTTGTCACATATGCATTTGACTTCGCGATGTTGCGAGCCAACCTCGCAAGTGTTGCCCCCCGAATTTCTAAAGATACAATAGTCACGAACAGTGGTGGAGCTGAAACTATTTCTAATGGATCACATTACTCAAATCATATATTAGTTGATATACATAAAACTTCAAAACACAGATTTTAGTGCGGTCAAAATGTAATTTCAAACAAATATTTTATCAAATCGGATAAAACAACATACGTTAAAATCAACTGACATAATTTGGCTGGGGTCTACTCACTATGAAGTTCTGCCACTGGCCACGAACTTTTTCAGTTCCATACCTACCCATGATTTATGTGTGTTCCCCATGTTCCACCAAAACTTCGAGGTAAAATAAAAGTAAAACAACAAAGTAAAACAATCAAAGTAAAATTTCTTTTATGAAAGTAAAAATAAAACAAGAATCAGTGAATATATAAGAAACAAATTCCCAAAATATTAAACAAAAATCTTTAACGTTTTGGTCTGACTGCTTAGGGATGGATCATAACAGTGACGTTATCTCCGTCGAGTATTAAGCACTTTTAAGAACGCTTTTAATGCTTCGACGTCTTTTACGTTTTGGTATGACTGTGACAGCTTGGCGCTGACTATTCTTCCAGCTCAGGATGACCCTTCATGGGCATATTGTTTTCTTACCGTTCCTTATAGATACTATATCGGTTTGGAGTGGGGTGAAACCCGCCTCCAACAATGCCCCCAGAGTCCGGTGTGTTTCAAGTCGTAAGACAAGTCTGGTGTTGATTCTGACTTGGGTTGTGTATTTGAGACCGGTGATTTATGAATTTCAAAACTAGATTCAAGATTTTGGTTTGGTGAATTAATTGTGGGATTTGATTGTTATTGGATTGTGGGGTTCAAGATATTTTTGCTGGAATACGAATCATTTTTGTAATGTATAAAGCTCTGAGATTGACTCGTAAAACTGTATTCTTATTCAACGCAAGAGACGCTATATATATAGCATTACAAAGATAAGTAGTAGATCCTATAAAAGCTGAAACAAACTAACACCTAACACCGAGTATCTCGGATCTTATTTGATACGACCAACTACTAGATAAACATGAACCAAAGATAACTCCAAATCCCTAACGGTTACTTCAATTTGCTCCAACAAACTCTCCTTAAGCTAGACTTGGTGCACAAGACTTAGCTTACTCGAAACAGAGCAAATTCCGAGCTTACTTCTCAGCTTCTCAAACACTTCACGTCTCAATGCTTTTGTAAATATGTCTGCCACTTGCTCTTGTATTCCACAATGCTCCAAGCTTATCTCTCCATTGTTCACCAACTCACGTAGGAAATGATAACGGACCCCAATGTGTTTGCATCTCCCATGGAAGACTTGATTCTTTGAGAGTTTGATGGTCGAGGTATTGTCACACAGTATGGTTGTTCCTTCTGCAGTCTCATGACCCAGTTCTTGCATCATTCGTCTGAACCATATGGCTTGACAAGCACAAACAGATGCAGCTACGTACTCAGCTTCGGTGGTGGATAATGTCACTATTGGTTGCTTCTT